CTATGCAGCAGATTACTGGCGAATGCTTGCTGCGGAAGTTCGACTGCGGTATAACTGCTGTCCAGAATGTCACCGCTGCGACCACTCATCTTAGAAATTTGGACATTCAGATGCAGTTTCTACTCATCTCACCCCTCTCATACAAGTCAGCTGTTATTCAGTAGGCCAGTCTCCTACTCAATCAGTTATTTGTTTTCTGTCATTAGGATATCATCTCCATTTTCCTCTTTTATTTGTCTGATTTCCCGCATTACTATAGATATTCCTTCGCTTTTTCCTGATTCTTTCCTTATCCTTCCGTTTTTCTTCCTCCTGTTTCCTCTCTTAGTTTTTTCCTTTCCTTACTTTTTCTTTCCTGTTTCCCGGGTTACTGTTTCTCTTCTTTCTTTTCTGAGTTTTCTTTTAATTTTTGCCCTCTCGTCTTTCTTTCGATCTATTCTTCTGTATTTACCGTCTTTATTTCATGCTTTTTCCACTTTCCTCTTATCTTTCCTTCCATTCCTTCTTACTCTTCATCTTCCTTTTCTTCTTCCATTCATGTTTCTTCCACTTCCACTTCACCATATTTAATTTTTTTCTTTCGACCACTTGCTTCTCCTCTTTGTCTTTTTGTTCACCAACTTTTGCATTTTTGCCCTCTTCCGTCCATTTCTCATCGCTGTCTTCTCTTCCTCATCATTTTCCCTGTTCTCTCTTCCAGTCTTTCTAAATCAGTTTCTCCCAACTTATTCTTTATCGTTTTATCTTTTTCTGCTTGTTCTTTTCCTTCTTTTGTACGTTTTTTCTTCGTTGGTTACCATTAGTTCGTCTGACATACGTGACAGTTCAGGCAATATTTAAAACTTCCTTTCGAATATAATCTATATGTCCATGTCCCTTTCTCCAAAGCATCTGGCGATCCGACTTCGTAGTGGGAATTTGTCCTCTTTAATGCTGCGAAAGGAAAACGCCTAGGACTTTGTACTTTCTCTCTGACCAAATCTAGTTTTTGCTAGAGTATTATCTTTTTTGGTCTTTCTTTGCCAAAACTAGTTCAGATTTCATTGGACTTGGCCATCTCTTAGCTTAATAACTTTCTTCCAAAACACACAAACCTACGCACTGTACTTGTTGCATATCTGTATTGCGCACGACGTCAGATTAACTAGTGATTCCTCTTGGATTCTTGCAGCAGTAGGAATTTTCGTACTAGTTCTCTATTTTTTCATTTGTTGAAATTTTTCACTAACTGATCCTCGTCGCGTCATAAACATAAAATACTAACATCTGTTGCTGTCTTCTTTTATAGTCCTAGTCGTGTTTATGTCCTCTATCATTGGTTCATTTTGGTGACGTTGGCACAGTATCTAAGAGGTCTATTTCGAACTCCGGAGGTACCAGGTTCCATTGCGCCCTAGGGCAACCTTTGTCTAATTCAAGAATTACTTTGAGTAAGGAATTTACCACACATTGCTTCAAACTGGAGTTGCTCAGTCAGTAGAACGTCAAATTCATAACCGATAGATTCTCATTACAAGTCCTGGTCGGGGTCACTCGATTTTCTTCCTTTCGTGGTTGATAAATGAGTATCACTCTGTGGAAAGAAAAGAAAGCTAAACACTAAGCTTGCCACATGACTCTGCCTTTAAAAATAAGACACTCCTGTCTGTTAGCATAGAAACGGTAATCAGCATCGCACCCTCAACTTTATGAATGATATGGGCGTCAAAATGGCCCCGTCATGAAAGTGACAGAATATCGATATTCCGACGGTAACAGGCTTTCATTCTTTCCTTTCCTCTATCATTGATAGTGCAGAAATGATTTCGGTAACTGAGATTGGATTTATCACCCCCTGCTTAAGGGTCAGCAACACAGTGAAAATTTTATTTCGCTCCTGTAGAATAAGGATGACGGTGACTACGTAAGCCCGTTGTTCTTTCGTTCAGATTTTGCAAGAGCATGTAATTGATTTTTCTTCCCATAAAGAGGTGTGTTGCGTTAATGCATGAAAGTAAATAGCACACTCCGTGGTGGTCTTCATTTCACCGTCATCTACTAGCTGCCATGGCTACAAATCATGGATAGAAGAAAATGTTTTATGCGCCTTTATGCTGATCGTTGACTGAGTCGAATCCACTCAAGAGACAACTTTTGTTCTTACCGCGAATTCCCTTCAGCAAAAATGCACCACAAGTTTCGTCGGTGTAACCAGTCGAGAAACGGCTAGTACGTCCGGTGACTTGCGAATAGTCGAGAGAGAATGGTATTCTGATTTGATCATACCGAATTAGACGAGGTGTAAGGCCATGCTGTCAGATGTGAGCCCTCGCAGTGGATGCACTTCATCTTGACACACTTGATAGTTGACTGTCCAGTGTAATGATCAGCACAAAGTATAACCCGATTTCAATTTTTTTAAATGTTGCGGAAATCTGTAATTTTTGTTATACGGTAATAGTTGAATAAGAGAGAACAAAACCTATTTGTTAATTAATAGAGGACTTGTAAAGCAGTTTCTGAGGTACCTTTGGATCTGTTAGTTTTTTTTTTACCCTGAGATAAAATTTTTAGTTTAAACAAAATTGCCTACTTATATCTATAGCCACCGAAGTACCTTCCAAAGGTGTACCACTTTGTTATTTGTTGAATATCAATAATGCTGATATATTTCTTTTTCAGACCGATTTTTTAATTTTATATATAAATTTCAGATCATATCAACTAAAGCGAGTCATCCAGAATGGGATCTGCACTACGATGTTGGCTCTTCGTTTGCGTTTAACGGTGCTGACTTGGACGTCTATGCATTGCAGTATTTGGACCTCAGCATGACCACCTATGAAGAACCGTTTGTGGTCAACGCTGTCTTAGCCCACTGTCGGCACCTAATTGCGCTGAGTGTCGAGGGTTGCCTCGTTGACGATGTGACGTGCGTGCTTATCGGCCAAAACCGTCATTTGCTGTTCCTGAACATGGCCCTATGCCAACAGATCACTAGCGCTGGTATCAAGGCGATAGTCAGCGGCTGCCAGGAACTGCAGGAATTGAACGTCGGGTGGACGAATATGAACCACTGTGCCGTTGAATACCTGTGTCGTCACCTACCTCAGTCGCTGCAGAGGATAAACCTTTCCGGTTGTCGCAGTGCAACGTTATTCGACGTAGGTAAGTTTCTGTCGTCTCAAATTCCATTATTTTTTGCCACGACTGCTCGTGTTTCCTTTGCTTATTTACTGCACCTGTTTAAATTTCCTTTGAAGACACTATGAAGTTTTTCGCTCCTCAGTCTTGCTCTGATCTGGCAACAAATAGCTAACGGATGCAGATAACCTCTCATACTTTAAACAGCAGTTTGAAAGAATTTATTCAAGTACAAATTCATTGGTGTTCCTAATTTTCCAGCTTGCATGATTTGTTTCACGACTTTTGAAATACGCGGAATACACCAAGACTTTTGGCTTTACGAACTGTATGATACTTTGGCAGGCTTTGCTTAACATAGGATTTTCTCAACATATCATCTGTATCCACGCAAGAACCGTACATAAACAGCTATCTATAATGTCACTTTTTGGAGGGGACTTCTGACTGACTGGTTTATTGTTAAAGACAGATACGTCGAGCGTTTCCTTTGTCGTCAACCTTATTTAATATACCCAGTAAATCAGTTTTACGTTTTTATTGGAAAGCTACACTGGAGGCCTGAAAATTGGGAGAAGACCATTCACTATCTTGCGGTACTTAATTCCTTATCTCTATCAAATTTACAGCAACTGGCATGGGAAGTCAACATCGCGATCGAACGTTTTGATATAGAATACAAGCTGGCCATGATTGGAACG